TTGACCAAATTGAACCCGGATTCCAGAAATATAGGAGTGTTAATAAATCATTGAAATTGTTGGACGTGGGGTTCAAGAAATATTGGAGTTCCAATAAATCATTGACGTCATTGGATATGTGGTTCAAGTAATCTAGTAATACTGGATAAAAATTGGAGTAATGGTGCTAACAAATGTTTGAAAATGTAATAAAAACTGAAACAAATAAAAATGAGTGTTCAAAATACTTAACATCCTTTACACTCTTTATTTACTACTAACTAACAAAGATCGGCATATAATCAAATTTGAGAAAAAATACTAATAAAACTATGAACAGTTCAGGCAAAAACGGTTGAACATCCGTGTCGTCGCCACCAAATAAAACTGTTCAATTGTCTCGCCACTGCGAGATTTGGCTTAAGAACAGATGATACTACCAGGAATTTCGGCGTGGAAAAAGAGTTACGAGTACGATTTTATAATCGTAAATAGTCGAAGAGGACCGGCAAATTTCCCGGGAAGGCTTCGGTTAGGCCAAATGACTTTTTCACCTTGGGGAGAAAAGATATTAATGAGCCCGTTTTCATTAACATGCAAATACCATTCCCTCTCCGACCGCTACCGTCTGAAGCTGTCATTAAAAATTTTGTCCATTTTTTTCTGCACCATCATCCCTTTTTGCACATCAGATGATTTCTATTTAAATACCCTTTTAATTCATTTCATGGTCAATACAAAACTAATGTTTGTAAACTCGATGTAAGTACTAACACTAAGTACTAACTAAGTACTAAGTACGTGTTGTACTTAATTGTTCAGGCCTAGGAGTTTGAGTATAATCTTTGTAACAAACAGAGTAAACAAAGAGATTCTTCGTCGAACTTAGAACGCGAAAAAGTTCGATTTCTTAACACAATTTAAGACATGGGAAACTCTTCTAGCTGTTGATGTTGAGGCGGTCCTGATGTCGAACCGCCGCAGGCAATCATGACTGATCATCCCAGTGGATTTCTGTGACAGTCCTTGTGTTCGTCTTAGGAGAAAGGGGTTGTTTCCTGATTGGGTGTTTGATTGGTTTCGGTGAATGAGAAACAGTGCCGAAACACCACACCCAAGTGGCATAGGCAGACCAGAGAAAATAGACAAAAATATTTCAAATTATTAAATTAAATTTTAATTGAAATCTGATAATTATATTTTTTCAAGAATTTATTGTCATAAATAAATTTGTTCCCGCCTGGCAAATTTGTTGATAATGTTAAGTATCTTTAAACATCTTTAAAATACAAAAGGCGTAAATAGGAGTTGAAAGCCATGGTTGATGGATAAAGGGTCTCACGTTTTTTCTTCTTTTGCCCTGAGAGAACATTGTTTCTTAATTAAATAAATTCGACGAATGGAATTAGTACGGTAAATAATTGTTTTAATTATTTCTCTTGTGTTCATTAGGACCTATTAGGGAAGAGGGCCGGCGAGACTCTCCTTTAATTGTCCACCCATGTTCCTCTATTGTTATCGAATGAATTTTTTTTTTAATCCGGTGTTTTTCTTTACGCTTTTTTGGATTCGAACCACCAAATAAAAATGTAGGGAATTTCTTATCCCTAAAAGGGATTAATGACTGCAATAGTCACAAGAGTCGGTTCGCATCGTTAAAATTTACCTCAACATTTTTTTACCTCAATTTTATTGAAATTACATTTCTACCTCTTGAAGGAATGAGACGGTGGTATGGAAGTCGTAATTCATCCTGGCCAAATGTATGTACATTTGAAAAACGACTGAGCGTTTGAAAATTAGGCGTGATGTGGTTGTATAATTAAAAAAAAAAGAAAAAAAATGCTAGGGATCTGCACAGCAAAGAACAAGGTGTGGCCAACCTGCAGATTTTAAACAACTTTAAGGAAGAGTAGTGGCTATAATAAGAAATACCTGAAGATAACTGAAGCAGATAAGCGTATATGGTCGCATATAGGGAGACTTTTCATACGGAGGTTGAAATAATAACCTCAACTTGAGTGAACATATTTATTAGCGTGAACGTTATTGTACATTTGGGAGTGTTTGTCATAGAATATCAAGCCCCACAAACAAATCAAAGTAGTCCAGGTTATTTAGTATTATCTGTATTTCCAGTGCGATAGGGGTAGTCAATGGCGAAATATCAAAAACCTTAGTGACTATGAATTGCATGAATGTTTTTCGTGGTCAAATGTTTAGACTATCGTGTGACCCCAGACCTGTGAAACTAATTGGGTTAAGTTAGGATAGAGAATGCGTGATTATTAGTGTGTGTGAATGAATTTATTAGCGTGAAAGGAGGAATGGCGTCAAGGTGAAAATCGCCTTACGTCTCCCAACAGAAGATTCATACCGTACACAATGTAGAGGTAAAGGTAATCTCAGCTATATATCGAAAACTCTTCAGGTTAGTTTAGATTAGATAAGGTTGTATTTTCATTGACTTGGAATGTTTTGGTCACGTGTGGAAGGGTTAAACATCAATGATCTAGGGGGTAATAAAAAAAATTCGAGGTTGACAGCAGATGAGGGGCCAGCAAAAGCCCTAGCTGATCATCTCTGTCGATTCTAAACTCTTGTGTCCGGAAAGTATGGATTCTCGTAAATGTGTAGAGGTTAGTGACCGTTAATCGATAGTTATTCAGATATCGTGAGATGCGGTCGGGTGTGATGTAGGTTTCAGAAAAACATTTTCTTTATCGTGCCAACGTTTCGATCTTTTATTGAGATCATCTTCAGGGCCTGGGATTTACAAACAATGTTTACATTTAACAAATACATTTAGGATGTGGAAAAGTGAATTTATACAATGCAAAATATATTTTATATTTAAACAAAGTACACACAGAAGACAAACACTTTGAGTGAGTAGAAATACTTTGTTTAAATATAAAATATATTTTGCATTGTATAAATTCACTTTTCCACATCCTAAATGTATTTGTTAAATGTAAACATTGTTTTGTAAATCCCAGGCCCTGAAGATGATCTCAATAAAAGATCGAAACGTTGGCACGATAAAGAAAATGTTTTTCTGAAACCTACATCATACCCGACCGCATCTCACGATATATGAATAATAATTCTCGTAAATATTGTAAAAAATTGTAAGGGTTTTATTTTCAGGTGCCGATTTTGTTTTATATTATTGGAACACTTGTTCTCGCGGGAAATTATGAATCATCTGTTTTCAGGATCAACATCCTTCGTTAAATTTCAGTAGTTTTTGTGGACGTACAATGGAGAACCGAACAATCGTAAACGAAATGTCAGCCATGAGGTCAAGAGAGTATAGTAAAGTACAATAGTATTTTAATTATGGAAAACCCGATATTATTTTGAAGCTTTTAGCATATTTACCCTTTAATCTGTGATTAAAATTAATTGTTAGATGTGTATTCAAATTTTAAACATTTTCACAAGCTGAATTTACATTTTACACTGTTTACTATGTCCATTTTGAGCGCTCTCCATTAATATTCACCATGCGTCAAGACATTTAAAAAATTGTTTCAAAACCCAATATTTACGAATAGGTACATTAAACCCTCTCAGGGGTAATTCATTTCCTGGGTAATCGAAAATTGCAATTTTCTGGAATCCGCCCAATCGGACTGGATTTGATTTCATTGCCAATTAGGTGGACAATTACTGGGTTTCATATAAAAAATTAATGTATGATGTCCGGTCCAGTTAGACCAGTTTACAACAGATGCGCCGCTCCGCCCGTAAAAGCCATTAGTACAATTCTATGTAATTTAGCTGTCCTTGAAATTTACTACGCCGAGGTGATGTCAGGCATTTGTTGGGAATACTCCAGGCCCCCGGGGTTCACTGCATCTTGGAGAAAACGATCGTATTGCCTATCATTTAAAAATAATCAAAATACTTCTCAATTTGGTAAGATTATGAGTAAATCCGGGCCGGCGTAATGCACCCAAACCATAATAACAAAAGGAAGATGTAATCAGAAATAACTATGAAATCAACCTGCATGACTATAAAAAAAATAAATTAGAGATAGTGAAATTCAGAAATATCGAAAAAAAAATTATAACTAGTACATCCAAATTAATATTAAAATTTACATATAGAATAAAAAAAGCATAAAATTAGTACCCTACCCATTTAAAATATAAAGCATTAAACAAATGCCGAGCTGATCAGTTTAATAAACATTAAAAGGTAATGAAATTTAAAATTGATAATCCGTGGTTCCATTATAAAGTTGAGATACGTTATCAGACTTAAAACTAAAAATATTATAAAAATGCGTTATCAGGCATAACTAAAAATATTTTTTATATCACATTTAATGTCAAATCATAAAAAACGAGGCAAAATAGATTAGGTTGAACACAATTGACTTTAATATCTTTATTAACTGAAATTGGTGGCAGGGCAGTAGTGGAAAGGGTAAAATGAAAATATTGATTGAGGCTTGGAGTTGCATGGGCCGCCTACGTGTTTCGGCGGACCCGCAAGATCCCGAATGAGGATAAGTCCCTTATAATAATTACCCCCGATAACGTCCCTTAATATCTTAATCCGTCTGGAGCCCGATGGAAATCCGACTCGCCTAAAAGGCACAACGGAGAACCAGTCGTGTTATGGATGTCATTCCATTTGTTTATCTCGGATATTATTAACCCTCCCACGCCTCATACGTGGGGGATGGATTAGTGAGAAAACAGAAAAAACCCATAAACTGCAATTGGGAAGAAACGCGCCGGAGTCGTAAATCAAAAGGGAAAATTTATTATCGCTGGGGTTGGTTGTGTCCCGAAGATTTCGTGTACACAAAGCCGGCATGAAGGATATTTTAAGGAAGCTGTAAAATTAAGCCCATTACATGCATAAATTCACAAATGCGGCGGTACAGTTGAATAAAGAATAATTAATTTCCCAATGTAGGAATAACGTTACAAACAACAAAACAAATAGTTAAAATCAATCTTTGAAAAAGAAAACTGATTTTTCCAAAAAACATGACTTACCCCAGGTGTTGTGGACTGTGTTCCAAATGTGTACGTCGTCCATCCGAGAGAAGGCTCTCTTGAAGTGTCGAGAAGGACAACTGGAAAGAAACAAACATATAATTAAATAAATAATTAAATAAAGTGTATGTTTCTTAGTGACATGTTGTTTCATAATGTGTTCAAGTTGTAAGGATCGGTCAAGAATGAGGTAATTTAGAAAAAAACTTTTTCATTTTTTTTTTGCCGACGTTTCGACCTGTATTCGGGTCATCTTCAGGCCATAAAGTGTGGTGCTATTCTCGTGGAGTCATATTGGTTTTGTATTAAAGAGTTGTGCAAGCACCAATACAAACCGATATGACACCATAAAAATAGCACCGCACTTTATGCCCTGAAGATGACCTGAATAAAAGTCGAAACGACAAAAAATGAAAAATGTTTTTTTCTAAACAACCTCATTCTTGGCCGCTCCTCACGACTTCAATAAATTATTAAATAAAATTCAGCAAATTCTATACTTGCTTCTAAAAGTGGAAAATTAGACGAAACCTAGAAGGCAAATCGGCAAACTTCTAGAAAGGTTTTAACATTGGAAAATGGTTTATTGTTTGAAATGTTTTTTCAGTTTAAAAATACACCAGATGGTTTCGTACTGTGAAATCCATCCCATGTCTCAAAAGGCTATATTTTACAAATGGTGGATTAAGCCAGCAGGTAAAATTCTTATTTCTTATCAATAGAAGGAAAATATTTACAAATATTTACTTGTCTGTTGGAAATTGTAAATAAAAGGAGAGGTACTGAGGGAATTGATACAAGTACCTGTTGCTAAGATGCTATTGATTGTAAATAATACCAATTTTCATAATCTTCAATCCCAAAGATTATTTCGGATTGTCATATTAATCATAACGTGGCGTTTAGTTACCTGTGAAGATAATTAATGATTATTTGGAGATCGTGAGATGCGCGTAGGTTTTAGAAAAACATTTTCTTTAAGTGCGAACGTTTCGATCTTTATTGAGACCATCCTCAGAGCCTGGGATTTATAAACATTGTTCAAATTATACAAATACATGTAGGATGCGAAAAAGTGAATTTATACAATGCTATAAATTTTAGACTCAAAGTATTTGTACTCACTCAAAGTGTCATCAAATTAAAATTTCTAGAATCTTATAAATTCACTTTTTTCACATCCTACATGTATTTGTATAATTTAAACAATGTTTATAAATCCCAGGCCCTGAAGATGATCTCAATAAAGTTCGAAACGTTGGCACGATAGAGAAAAGGTTTTCTAAAACCTACGTCACACCGGACCGCATCTCACTATCTCAAAATAATTATTAATCATAATCATAACTTATTAAAAAGCTACTACAGATACAATAGTGGAGATACCCAAATCTTATCCCACCAACCATTGTTAACATTGCCAAAACACCAAAATCAATCTCAGGAATGTCGCTCTAAGTGTGTCAAAAAATGCTGATTTCAACTGATTTTTAGGAATAATTATAAGTTCTTGTTTGTAGGTCAACCATTTTTGAATTTCGTGGTCTAGATGAAAAGAGGTCGATCTTTTGTTAAATGTAGAATTTGAGTTTAACAAAAGAACGACTAGGTACTCTCTTCCCCTTGAACAAACAATGTTTTTTAAGAAAGGTGAGCATCCACACCTGCCTTTAAGTCCCCGAACCTGCTTCTTCTATCCCATTGGGTGAAATACGTTACAGAAACGAATCTTTTCCAATGAATAGAAAGAATTTGTTAAAGAAACAGAATTTTCTCAAACTAATCAAGTTTACAAATTTCGGATTTTTTGTACCCTCAGGTGATTAAAAAGAAATCCTGATATGAAGCATCGTTATCCCGATCTTCACCTACAGAAAAATAATGTGAGGGTCGCATTTTAATACTATGACTACATTAGAATAAATTTTATCCGATTGGCCCTTTCGTAGGGGCAATAGGGATCGGAAAGTTCGTAATTGCATTTTTTTAACACCACCGAAGTATGGGAAATTGGTCTATTTCCGGTCCCGGCCTAACGAGTTGATTAGCAGGATTCATAAATAATTCACCGGTTGAAAATCAGTAATATTAAAGCACGAGTGTCCGCGTGACGGATATCGATGACGTTATGCGTACCGATTCTGTTTGAGATTTTATTTAAAACTTAGCACATTAAACATTCAGAATAATATGGTAACTGTGCTAGAAATAGATCAAAGTTATTTTCTACGGTTTGGACCACAGTTAAAAAAAATACACAAATCATCCTATAAATATAACGAACCGCCTTAACGCCTTACGTTTCTCGGTATTTCTCCCGGTTGTATTGATTTTCCGAATCAACGTTCGTGTGTATGTTGGGGAGGACGCTCAAGATATTTGCCGAGAGACAAGTTGTAGTGACAAAGTTGAGTTAGAGTCAATAGAAGCCCCATTGGCGTTCCAAGCCCCTGCTCGAAAACTCCACCATTTAAATCTCGTCCCCCTTTTTGATTAAGTGAGCCTCCCTACTAACTAAACTTCGGTGATATCACATTGTTTCGAAGTAATTGTGTGATGAACATAGCTATTACGATACTTTGCCTATTTGTGAATTCAAGTGAATAAGTTATTCAAGTTTAAAAGTATGCGAATAATTAAATGTAAACAATACCGACACAGCACTGAAGATGGCGTCTGTGGGCCTCGCAGGATCAGACCCGGAGAAGAATGGTCATCACCCGATTAAGGATAGGCCAGGATAGACGCACAGAGATTTACTTCTGGGCCAAAGCGAGGTATGTGTCCGGCGTAGAGATAGGTTGCTCGATGTGTCCCAACTAATTGAAGGGTGCAATTCGTCGGTTCCAGACAGCGAGGAATATCGAGTACTCCATCATCATAATTGAATGAATTGTATGGAAATACTAGTGAATGTATTTAAGAATGAACGTGAGTACGAATGAGTTTGGAACTACATGTCTTGGGTGCTGAATTGACCTAGCTGTTGACAGCAACCCCCCCCCCCCGGAGCAGTGATGAGGCGAAGATGTGAATTGAGCCTTGGCTGCAATTGTCCCATTTTTCTGGATAAAGTCGTCCGTTATATTCCAGATTTTTTTTCCTTTCAAATATTCAATGTTTAAACAAAGAGGCAAATTCTTATTTTAATAACAAGGAAATATTCGTCTTCTCGACTGTGGTGCTTACTTGTGGCTCATTATATCAGCCACATGACAGCTACGTTTTACGTATAAAAAAAGACATAATTCATATCAAAATCTCGATTGCATCCAACGCACATATAAAAAGGATTACACTAAACCAAAAATATTCTATGCCACTTACTCTCGTCGCAGGAATGAACTACTCGTTTCACTTATATTTTAGACAAACGCAGATTTATGCCCAAGATGCCAAAACTATTGTTCAATACGATTTATCAAGTCAGAAACTATGATTATCAAATAATAATTTCAATCTATCAAGAAAGTGGAGATAAAAGGGAATATGAAATGTTAAATTAATTATTTAGCTGTTTAGTTTGGAATTCTAGCGTCATCGCGTTTATGTCTTTAAGCATTTTATCAATGATGAAATGATATCTTAGCGAAATATTCAAATATTTTAGGCTCTGCTTATTAATTTAACGTCTCAAAAGTCTAATCATAATTACGATTATATAAGCAGTTTATTCAAAAGATTTTCCAAACTGTACCCTTCATCCTCAGTGAATTCATGTGGAGTGCTAATTGGAAACTCATCGTAAAAACATAACATAGCAAAAGCAAAACAGATTTACTACAGAGCTTGTGACAATGGCAATTTTTCTAAGCTGAGCTTAAATATTTTGTGTATAATAAAATGGTTCCTAAGAAGTTTATGGATAATGAAAAAACTTGCGCAAGGAGAGCTTATACGTTAAAATAAAAGTAATTATTCAGGGAAGATAATGAATGGCTAAATGAAAAAGTTTTTCGGGCTGAATTTAGATGGTACTTAATATAGAAAAGTCTTTCAGCGTAGAGAAGGTCGTCAGTGTATAACGAAATGAAAAACTTATGCGGGCTGAATATAAATGGTACTTTATATAAAAAGCCGAGGAAGGTGGTGATTGGCGTAATTCAAAACTTCTGGATGAATTTAATAGAACGACACGAGAAAAAAGGTTTTTTTTTTCAGAAACCGTAAACTGTCTTGGTCGTCAGTCGTAAGTAAACGATTTTAAAGTTTTTCTGTTCAATCGTGGAACTTCTTTGGGTTAATTATTTTGTCACGTAAGGATTGTCTACTGCCGAGGGTCGTTTTGCAGGGTCGCGGAACGCCAGCGGAGCCGGCATCCCTTTCAACCGCTGCCGGCGCAGGAGTGCGTGGGCGTGTATTTGATATACAGATGTCAATATGTGCCCTAGGGGGCCCCTTTGTAACGGTAAACTGCTCGCTAATGAGCCCTTTAACTCAACCACTAGAGTTTACAACCTTCATTTCGATCTTCACGATTCCTCCCCGGTTGTATTATTAACCGTACGACCGTGTTTGCTTATTAGGACATAAATTATCTCGGCTCTTTTTTCTTTTCCCCCATTTCATTTATGGCTCTTCTATTCACTATTCACAATATTATACATTAAATTGTTTGTTTGTATTGTTTAATTTATTATCATTCGTATATATGGCAAATACAAACTTCCACTGCTCCTGATGGAGTTAACAATTGAACTACAGCTTTATGGACATTTCCAAAGCGATAGGCGGGATGGAGTGAGAGAGTGAGAAAGAAATAGAGAGAGTGTGGGAGAGAGTAAAAAGTAAAACACCTTTACAAGAAAAACATTCCAAAAATCAACAAACATCCAAAAATGTTATTTCAACCGAAGTGGAAATGAAAGATGAAAATGTGTATATGCGTATAATGTATTCTTGGAAAAATTAATTCATTGCAAGTTTTATTAGTCGTGTAGTTTAATTCCGCAACAAAGAATTACATTAACAGCCGCAAAGAAAAAAACAATAACGACAATAATTTTAGTTGTCGTAACTTTCCAGCTAATATTATTTTTCCGAACTCCTACAATTGTTGTCTACTGCTTTTTGTAGGTCA